CATAGAGGGACTGAATAAGACAACAAAATCTCAGTCGGGACAGGATCTTGACTAAGAATCAAACATGGAACCTCTCAAATATGAACCAGGAATGACAACAATGTCTTCATATCAAGTTATCATTCTCTGGCTCATTTTTTATCCTTCTTATGTCCTGAAACATTGCTGGTCACGGTAGCTGAACGGTCTAAGGCGTGCACCATCTTTGCTCGCTCAGAAGCCGGGATCATGGGTTCGAATCCCACTCAGGGCATGGATGTTTGTGTGCATTTTTCTGTGTTTGTCTACAGGTAGAGGCCTTGCGACGAGCTCATCACTCGCCCAAGTCGTCCTACCGTATGTGTAAGATCTAGTAAACCGAAGTGAAACGGAGAGTTTCATGGAGGTAGGCCTAGGCCCAAATTGGGGCTGTAGCACCACAGGAAAAAAATGTCCTGAAACATTAATATGTCTACTTTTCCCATGTTGTGAGATCAGTGGTGTTAGCGCTGCTTAATTCATGTAAAGGGGCATGGTGGATGAGAAGTTTCCTGTGGATGACATTCTACACATTCATTCCATATGCTACCCTGACAATATTCTGTACGCAACAGACTGGATGGAGCTCTAGTTCTTGGTAGACTATGTATGTATGTATTATGGGAGGGGATGGGTTTCCCCATGCACTTAGACCAGTTATTGGTCCATTGTGCATCCCCCTTTTAATTTCTACTGTCGCCATACCCTACCGGTAACAGTGCATGCCATCAGCCCCCATACAGCCAACGAGGTCGGCCCCCGTTACCTTGATGCTTCCCCATCCACCAGAGCTCAGAGGTCTCCTAAATTCATGAGGTTCTTTTATGGGCCTCCTGGAGGACTTGTTCCCTGAATTTTTCCGCCCTTAAAAATTCCACGACCTCCACAGGGTTTGAACCCGTGTACCTTGAGTCATGAGGTGGGAACGTTACCCCTAGACTACGGAGCCGCTTCTGGGTAGACTAAGTTCTACTTTGGGCTGAAGTGCAGTGCACTTCCTCACCATGGCATTCCATAGTTACTTCTGTTCTCATGTTCGTTCTTCCTGCTGCCTCAACCAACTACGCTGCCACGTGCCCCGCCATGAATGAGAATATTCTGAATTTAATTCAACAAACTGTGTTGGTTCATCTGTGTAGGTGAATATATCAAACCTCATGTGTATATCATCGAGGGGAATATCTGTCTCTCTGTAATATCTATAATGCCTATAATGTTTCCATTTTCAGAATTCTGAATATTTCTTACAGAAAAACACTGCAAACACAGTAACCACCAGAACTTACAAAGTCAAAAGAATAACCTGCATAACATAGCTTGTTCTGTTCAAGTCCTCACAAAGGGATGGAGACTGAAACAGCCAGTTTAAGTTTTCAGGCAAGCCATTAGCAGCATCCATTGTGAACAATAACATTTTCTACCTTGAAAATGGAGTCATTGAAGTAGTTGTTCTGTCCAGTGAACTGGTATGATGTCCATTCTGCTTCACTGAGATGGAACTATCCTGAGCTGTGAGATCTGCAGCTGACACATTCACTGCTTCAGCTGCATCACTTTCACTGCTCACTGAATAAGACCTATTTTTACCAGTCTGTAATGGATCACAGCACTTGCTACAGTCATCATCCCTTTGAATTATGATGCCTATCTTTGAAGCATTATTGAAGCAGTCAGGAAAATTATTGTTCTTTTCTACATTTTTATCAGTTCTTTCCACATCTGAACTATTTCCCTGTATATCTGAATCTACACCTTTTTGTGGAACAATTCTTGGTTGATATATAACTTCTTTTGGCCCTTTGTGCTTGAAGTTCTGTTGCCATATTCAATAACCAAAAACTGTCATGACATGAATTTGACAAATATGATAACCTCTTATTGGTATTCAAGCCCCCATCAAGATGTGGAATGTCAGGGTGGAGTGTCAGAGCACTTCTAACTTTTGTGCTTACAATATAGTATGTATTCACAATATCTATTTTGTTTCATGAAAACCATGCAGTTGACAAGACTCACCTTTCAACTTAAGCAGATCAGTTTCCTTCTGTAGCTTGTCTGCATCATTTCCTGAAAGCAAAGGCATCTGTGCTGAGTGGTTTGGGATTATCTTAATTTCCAGCAGGGAGGATATAACTCTGAGAAACATTTGGCTCATATAATGTAATCAAATAAATCGTTGTATAACCATCATCCAGGTAGGAATTGAAGTTGAGTCCAAAATATGTGTTAAATATTGTCTGTTATGCAGAAAAGAAAAAATTGCTTCATTTGTCACTAATTTCCAAAATTATAAATAATGTGCCAAAGTAGTCCAGTCATTAGGTTGGTCTATTACCAAAGAATAGTTTACAGAAACATTATGAATCATCAAGCATGTTAAGATGTTTATGTCATACTTCAGTATGTATAGTTAGCTTTGTTTTTTAAAAATGTTGTTGAGGATATGTGAAGGCCTTTCACATTCTGTATGCTCTACGTGTGCCCTTCATTAGCACATTGCTATTTAAATAACAACGTGATAGAATTTCTGAAACACAATATATCTAGAAGACAATAATGCACATATACATACATACATACATACATACATACATACTAAACATATATTAGTGAATTCCATGGATCCAGAATCACAAAAAATGACTGTAGGATGAGGAGTAAGTTTTAGAAACAAACATATCTACAGTTCAACTGGAGCTTTCACATAAAATTAGAAAAGGAATATGCAGTAGGTTCATATGAGTTATTTGTATGAAGTGTATGGGAAGCCTGAAGGCGAATGGTCTGTTTCATGTCCTGTGTGTCTACAATATTACTAGGAAAGTGCCTTGAGACTCCTACGTGCATGATTCGGTAACTGACAGGAGATCAACATCACGGTAGCTCGTTTTGGCATGGCTGTGACATTATTTAAGATGGAAATTTGGCGAGATAAAGTCACAGTAGTAAAAGGAAGACCCTTACTGGCCAAGGGTCTCAGTCTCAAAATCTTCTACAGGCCAAGACCATAATTTGTAAGAGACTAGCTCACTTACTTACTAATGGAGCTGAGCCCTTCTTCAGAATCCGCCAATTCTGCAGCTGCTCAAGAATTTCCCAGCATTTTATGAAACCTGAAGGTTTATTACCGTGTTCACAAGAGCCCTCCACTGGTCCATATCCTTAGCCAGATCAGTCCAATCCGTATCATCCCATCCTATCTCTCTAAGATCCATTTTAATATTGTCCACCCACCTACGCCTTGGTCTTCCCAGTAGTCTCTTTCCGTTTGGCTTTCCCACCAATATCCTATACACATTCCTCTTCTCCTCCATTCGTGCTTCCTACTCTGCCCACCTCATCCTCCTCGACTTGATCATTCTAATTATACTTATAGAAGAGTACAAATTATGAAGCTCCTCATTATGCAGTTTCCTCCAACCTCCTGTCACTTCATCCCTCTTCGGTCCAAATATTCTATTCATTATTCACTATCGTCCAATAATTTGACGATATATAATCCAGAGCTGCTGACGTCATCAGATAATGTAGAGATAAATGGTGGGACTTCGTGGATGTTAGATCAGTCCATTCGAGAGTCACTGCCAGCATAGGACAACACAGAAGAACACATCTGTGTTTTGAAGATGAACCAGGTCCACAACCCTAGTGGCCGCTGACCTTGGTAGTGCCCTGTAACGAAGGTGTCCTTACGTTCGGCGACTATGGTCTCATGGGACCTGATACAGGGATACTGTATACAAGAACAGCACGCGTCAGACTATATGGAAACTCAGCACTGCATTGCCCTGGTGACATTCTTGGAGGTAACAGATAACATTAAGCTTAGCTGTCGGGTGACCGATATAATGTGCTTTCATTCTGCTGTACTTATCATCGCATTCGCAGGCGAGGAAGCCGACAGCGATCGAGGCGAAATTTATGTTACGTGTCAGAAGTTGTTACAGTCAGACCATTTTACTGAGACCAATAAATTGTGGTTGCGCACAGCGCTTCTACAAGTTAATTCTAACAAATAAAACTTTCGGAGGTGATCCCTATAAAAGAAGTTCTACCGCTTGTCTTAATGAGAATTTAGTTATATTGTCCAAAAAGAGAGGCCAAGGCTCGAAACTTACTATAGCATAAAGCGAATAAGGTAATTGTGATGATAGTCACGATAAAAGTGAAGATTTAGATGAAGTTAAAATGATGAAAAACAAGAATATGGCGTAAGGAAGAAACGGTAAGTTACGCCAGAGTTCAAATGCCGTCTTGGTACTGTCCGTCTACAAATTATTTTTAAAGGCCAGCTTGCACCTTCTTCCAGAAGGAATCATGTTCCTTGGTGGTAGTTATTTTGTTCATAAGCTGTCAATGTAAAGTGCACCTTATTTTCAGTTACATAATATACAAGGCCCGAAAATAGACCAACATTAAGAATTAAGATCATGGAAGTCAGCCTATATTGTCAATAACTACTTCCCAAATCCAGCTAGGAATCTGGGGAAAGTGAAAGTAAAAAAAAAAAGTAGAAAAAAAGGAAAGAGGGACAGCAGGAAGACAAATGAAGAACTGAAGGAAAAAATACGCCTAAGGGAAGACGGAAATTGAGGCGGAAACTATGAAGCGAAGAGAAAAAACATGAAGAACAGAGGGAAGGAGGAGAATAAGAGGAAGAAAACATTATAAAGAACGTGGAATGTAAAACGAAAATATGGAAAGGGGAATTTAGAGAAGAGGTATACAGAAGAAGAGACAGAAGTAGAATAAGGAAGGTATGAAGGACGACAACAACAAGAACAACAACAACAACAACAACAATAATACATATAATAAAGAAAAGTTTGGTCGTCTTGCAGGCTATTTTCTTGGACTGAAACCTTTTGCCGTGGAATTTCACTCCGTTCTTACACTGAGTTGTTTGTCAGACTTCTATGGGTCTGTTCAAGTTCAAGGTGGACGGCTTTACTGCTGTGCAGACTTGCGATTTCTCTGTACCATCATGAGATCTTGTGCCTCAACAGCAGACCGTGGCAACTAGCCAGATGTCACATGACGAACGTGCACCAGAAGCATAATTTCAGCATATCCAGGCGTATGTCGGGGATTATACCTGATATGGGGTAAGCCCTGTACAACTTCTGAAAACGTTTTTTGCGATTTTACCCATCTGACTGGATTTCACAGTCATTTGCTGCTGAGACAAAACCGTCGTTGAGAGAGCCATTCAACAGTGAGGAACTATAACGCATCAAGTCGTAAACTTTATGGGCAGATCATCAACGTTAGCCATTCCGTAACTAAGAAGCAGTCAAATGATCTATAACAGGTGATTTCATGTGAAATCCGTTGTGAGGAAGTGATGATTCTATTGGACAAAATTATAGACGATCTGTGAATTTCAGTTTAAATTTATACGAGCAGGGAATTGTACTCGCTCTACTTACTGTTTGTTCCTTTTTCTTAAACTTCAACTCTGAAGATGGAGGCAGTATGTGCCTCCGAAACGTCGGTATACTGTACTGAACTAAAAATGCTTCATATCCCAGAAAGATTATACTCGTCAAAGATAAGCAAGCTTTTAATTCGTCGTCTAACGCGACCTTCTTCCCCTTCTGTGAAATATTAATAAATTCATTCAATTCTGTAACGAATAGCGGAAACGTGAAGAATGTTGACATCCTCTATCACATTTATTGCTAACAGCGGAAGTTAATCTGTGTTTCCTTTCGTGCACACGCGCTTTTAGTGGAAGAGTGCGCAGGCCTGGCTACAGGTCAACATTAGTTACTGGCCGTCAGGAGGCACAAAAGGCTGCAGAGACAGTAGTTTCCTCCTGAGAGATTCTTACCATCCACGGAAACGACAGTTATCATGGCAGCAGACACAGCTCTTGAATTATGTGGTGCGTAACACTGAACAGTAAATAAAGGTGCTAACAGTGGTTCTTGTTTCGTTCATATGAGTGAATGAAAGACAAGTTATTTTTGTGTGTGTAAGTTGACTGTACTGCAACTGGATGTGTTCTCGCTTCGTACTTTACTTGGTAAGTTGATGAAATCAAACTAAATTTTGTATACAATATTCATATTTGTAAATATGTTTGGTTTACGGCATAAATGCAGACGTTAATTGTTGCAGTTGTGGTTATGTTTTTAATGCGGTCTACAAGTGTATTTAGTCACAATGTGACATACTGACAGGACAATGTACCAACCATTCTAAGCGCTTTTAAGACGTGTAAAAGTGGAAACATTTAAATTGGCTTGTATTTGATTCCTAAAGTCACTGATTTTAGGCCAGTGACCCAGTATTCCTCATTAAAATTCACAGTAGATCACCATCGTCATAAATGTTATCCTGTTTTCCGATATGGGTTTTTTTTTTAATTCGCTTAGTGGGGGGTGGAGTTCAACTGGGTCCACTCGGCACGGCGGCCACTGATTGGCCTGTTGTAGCTGCCCCGGATGATTGTGATGATGGAGAATTTGGTGGCATGAAGATTGGCAGAGGAAACCGAAGTACTCGGAGAAAACCCGCCCCAGGCCCACTTCGTCCACCACAAACCCCACTTGACCAGACCCGGGATCGAACCCGGGCCGCCGCGGTAGGAAGCCAGCGACGCCAGCGACTAACCGCTTGAGTTATGACGCGGCCTAGCCTACAAGTAACCCCATATCGGAATGCCGCCAATTAGTGGCAGCCGTGCCGAGTGGAGCAAGTTGGATTCCACCCCCCACTAAGCGAATTTAAAAAAAAACTTTCCGCACCCCTAACCACTAGATGTAAAATCAAAATATTTTCCAAAACAAAAGAGGTTAGGAGTATACATACTCTTAGACCAAACAGGCCTATATCAAGCATTAACCATTGTAACAGTCTATATTTGTTTCCTGTGAGGTAGGAACTAAATGTTATATAGTATTTAAAATAAAATCAGTCTTTAAAATGTTAAAATGAGAAGGCTGTCAACTATTTTAAATAGCAGACATTTTGCAACGAATCTAACAGAAAAACATAGCCATTAACTGACGGGACTCTAATCGTTTGGCTGTCTTTTGGGTCAGTGGACAGTGGTCAGCTTTACACCCTAGTCGGTTGTTCCCCGGAGAAAAAACCTGGGTACCCATCGGATAGGAGGACTCCGGTGATGACACTTAGCCCTTCTAGACGAATGTCCCATGCCTGCCATTTCCAAAAGATCTGAAGAATTTACTTATGTTTTTCTTCCTTTTTGCCCTCATTTCGTTCCTCCACTTTTCCTTTGTTTCTATCTTCTTTTCATCCTTCTTCCTTCCTTCATTTCGTTCCTCCATTTTCTCTTTCGTTCCTGTTTACTTCCACTTTTCCCTCCTCCTTCCTTTCTTTTCTTCTTTTTAAACTTTCCTTCTTTATTTTTTCCTTGCATGTTCTTCTTCTTCTTTCCTCCCCTTCTATCCTGTTTTCTTACTTTCATTCTTATCCTCCCCCTCCTTTCCTTCCTTCTGCTTTTATCTTATCTCTCTCTCCTTCTCTTATTCTTCCCCGCCTTCCCTGTATCCTCTATTTCTTCCGTCTTCTTTTATTTCTTTTTATTTGTTTTCTTTTTTCTTAATTTTCCACCCACTTCCTTCTTTTCCTTTAGTTTCAGTTCCCTTCTGCCCCCCCCCTTTTTTTGCCGTTGGCAGCCAGCCCAATACAACGCTGTGTCATTGCCCACAAATGGAAATGCGAGTTGTACAAACATCGACAGGGTCCAAGGTGCTGGGTGTCGCCACGAGATGTACGTGTATTCTGTTTGTATCGAGTCTGCAGTGAACCATTGCAGTTGAGTGCTCATATTACTGATGAAGTCCACAACTTCACACTTTCGTTAACGTTAGGTCAGTAGTTATGCCACAAAACCTGTGCGCCGTCTTAGGGCCGAAGCTGCAAACAGTACGGCTTGCAGCTCCGGACTCTTATTTGAACGTTTGCCACACCGAAAAGTGTTCCACATAAAAGTTGTAGGTTCCGGCCTTCCTGATAACCTATATCGGTAAAAACAATAACGAGTGACATATTCATGCAATGATTGCCTGATGATAACCTAGCAGGGTCGAAACATATACCAGTACTTCTACACAATAAACTAAGGCTAATACAGTAGTACTGATTTGTTTATTATAGAATTATTGTATTGACTGATACATTAAAATGCCATATATAACACACAACAGAATGAATACAGTAAAGATAGTTAAGTGACCGCCTCTGTGGTCTAGTGTTCAGAGTTCCTGGCTACAGATGCAGAGGTACGGGTTCGATTCCCGGCAATACCAGATTTTCTGAGAAGTAGTGGGTCTGGAAAGGGGTCCACTGCGCCTCGTGAGAATAATTGATGAACTATTTCGAAGAAATAGCAGCTCTGGTCTATAAAACCGAGATTAACGGCCGTGGGGATCCGTTGCACTGACCACGTGACACCCTCTATCCTCTAAAGTAGGCACTAACTTCGCCGACAAGCAGCGGTCGCTCGGTCGGTATAGTTTGCTTGCGGACTACAGGCCACGGAGTTCTTTTTGTAGACACAGACATTTCGGAGGGCCTGTTTATTTCCACCACCACATAACTCTATGGAGCTGAGTTCTTTCTGAGAAGCCGTCAGTCGCTCAGCTATTCGAGAACTTTCCAAACCCCTCTTCGCCAGAGCCCGACACCGATCCATATCTTGAGCCATATCAATGGAATCAATAACACCCAATCCTATTTCTCTAAAATCTGTTCTATATTATCTTCTCAACTACGTCTAGGTCTTCTTGGTGGTCTCATTCCTTGTGGCTTTCCTACCGAAACCCTTCTTGTTTTCGTCTTCTTCCCATACATGCTGCATGCCTTGTCCATCACCTCCCCCTTGATATCATCATTCTGATTATATTTGGCGACAAGTACAAATTATGGAGCTTCTCATTATGCTAACTGCTGCAAATTTGATACATCAGTGTCGTAAATAACAGATTTAAAGTTGTAGAAAAATCTGTTACAAATACGTTTGTTCAAAAATGAGAGATTTGACCAAGAAATTATCATATATCTTTCCTGAAATATTACATTTCGGACTTAGAGGAAATATATATTACCAAATTCAGTATGTTGTCCCCTCCGCCCCCAAAATAATCGCAAGTTACGAAGCTCCTTAGTATGCAGTCCTCTCCGACCTATATTACTTCATCCCTCACCGCCATCTGTGAACCGATTGTCTAGAAAATGTGAGACCCTCAACGTCTCACAACCCTATGGGCCTCCACGGCCTGTTACAGGGATAGCTTTACTTTTATTTCCCTTCGGCCCAAATATTCTCCTCAGCATCCTGTTCTCAGTCGAGCGGTGAATCTGCCCGCTTACGTGACCTGGAACATAACCTAGGTAGGACGCTCTGGTATGAAGTACCCGGAGTATGTAGCTGATTCGAAGCAAAACGTTACAATTTTTAGTGAATTCAGAAGAAAAACGATTTTTCTTTGATTTTCTTAACCATTTCTGAAGTTTTATTGGTCTTATAGTGCCCTGCTAGTGTGACACAGCATTTGCTACTGGATATGCAGTTTTCACACGATACTATTATGTAAATGTGGGCACGCGGTAGCGTAGTTGGTTGAGGGGCTATGCTACAAGCAGGAAGGTCATGAGTTCAAGTCCTGATGAGGTAATTGGATTTTTTTTCAATTGACCTAATCCTTCCAGCCGCACTATGGCCCTGGGGTTGACTCAGCTTCTAACAGAAATGGGTACCAGGAATTAATTAAATAATTTTCCTGGGGAGTAAAGCGCGGCCGGCGCTTAAGGCTGACAACCTTACCGCCATCTTTGAGCCGATTGTCTAGATAATGTGGGACCCTCAACGTCTCACAACCCTATGGGCCTTCACGGCGTGGTACAGGGATAACTTTATTTTTTTTCTTACTTTACTATTATGTGAATTTTAAAGTGAGAAGTACAGAACCCATTTACTGTTATGCATGAGGTAAATGACTGTCCTTTAGACGGGAACTAAAGGACATTTGCCTACCACAAAAACCTAGAATGAGATCTGTAATTATTTAGTAGTAAATTCGCCTGCGGCTACGTAGCAGAAGTGGTACGGGTGCAGCTCACGGATCTAGTTAATCATTTCTTAACGACAGTCTATCATAGCGGTTTGTTTTCCAGGATAAGTATAGGTTTGCACATGAGCCTGAACAGCGTGTCACAAACTGTGTTCCGCACATCGGTAACGGCCCGTGAAAAGTTACCCACCTTTCTCACATCCTCACAGCCTATCTTTCCAGGAGAATTGTCATGAAGTGGCTGAGGAAAACCATGAAATACGTGATGATTTCCGATGTCTCGCCCGATATTCTAACTGAGAATCTTCCGAATAAGAATATAAAGACATACAGTTATGTCAGACAGTTCGGTGTCTCAGCGTTTCGGAAACTGGATCTTTTTCCATCGTCAAGATTAAAGGAAAAATTGTGCCTCCTCAGTCTGGACCGAATTTGACATTAAATAATTATTATTAAGCACTAATTATCATTGTTGCTATTATTATTAATAATATGGCCACCACATGATGCTCCTCAGTCTCTGCACACAAATACAGTTACAGTATCTTAAAGTATGTAAGATTTGAGGCTTTCACGGCGGTGACTATGAAGAAAGCAGTCTTCTGGGATTTGGCACCGTGTATATGTGGTGTTAACCGACGTTTCGGAGGAACGTATCGCCTCCATCTTCAGGGTACAAGAAAAAATATAAGAAATCTGCAAGCGAAGAGACCGTGAGAACCG